CCCCGCCTGTTCCGGCGCGCGCCCCGCGTGCGGACGCGCGTTCCCGGGCCCGGCGCTCGGAGCCGCCGCCGCAGCCATGTCGGCCGCCTTCAGGAAAGCCGCCAAGGCGCGGCAGCGCCCGCACCGCGAGCGGGCCCAGGTCAGTGAGCCGGGCCGGGCCCCTGGCCGAGCCCTCCGCGCTCCCTCCCCGCCGGGCCCTCCCCGCCGGGCCCCCGCGCTCTCCCCCCTCACGTTCCCCGTCTCTCCCGTAGCCCGCCGCCCGGACGAAGCTGGGCTTGCTGGAGAAGAAGAAGGACTACCGGCTCCGCGCCCAGTGAGTGCGGCCGCGGGGGGCGGGCGGCGCTGGGTGGGTGTTCCCCCAATCCAGAGGGTGTCCCCCCCAATCCAGAGGGTGCTCCCCCAATCCAGAGGGTGTCCCCCCCAATCCAGAGGGTGTCCCCCCCCAATCCAGAGGGTGTCCCCCCAATCCAGAGGGTGTCCCCTGCAATCCAGAGAGTGTCCCCGCAATCCAGAGGGTGTCCCCGCAATCCAGAGGGTGTCCCCCCAGTCCAGAAGGTGTCCCCCCAATCCAGAGGGCTTCCCCCCGTCCAGAGGGTGTCCCCCAGTCCAGAGGGTGTCCCCCCAATCCAGAGGGTGTCCCCCCCAATCCAGAGGGTGTTCCCCCAGTCCGGAGGGTGTCCCCCCAATCCAGAGGGTGTCCCCCTGGGAAACAGAGGCCCCATCCTCCTTGCCTAGGTTATGACACTGGCTCCAGAATACTCTGCTCCTTGTGAAGTCCTTTGAGTTGGGATGATAGCAAGTCTCCCTTTCCCTAGAAAAGTACCAGACTGTTCTAAGAACGTGGATTTCAGTAATTTAAAACTGCGCCTTCTTTGGGGTTGTGTGCTGCCAATAAACCCATTATTTTACTATAAAGTGATTTTAAGCAGGTATGATACCACACTGCCGTCCCTGCCACGGCTGTGCTTTTGCAGGACCTTCTCCTGCCAGAATTCCTGGGACAGGGCAGCAGGGATAGGGACAAGAACAGGACCAGGCTGTCTCCGAGCTCTGAACCTCACTAGGAAAGACTCGATGCCCCGGCAGGGGTGAACACAGAGAAGCTGCTGAACAATCAGTGATTGTTGTTTTTTTCCTCTCCAGTGACTACCACAAGAAGCAGAATGCTCTCAGGGCGCTGCAGAAGAAAGCTCTGGACAAGAACCCCGATGAGTTCTACTTCAAAATGATACGTGCAGAGGTCAAGGTGAGAACCTGCACTGCCTTCAAAACAGGATTACACTTCGTTGCTCTAAGTAACATTTTTACCCCTACCTTGTTTTGATTTAAATTTATTGTTTAATAGGTAAATGAGAAAAATTGGTTTGGTTCCTGTAGAAGGCTTTGAAGAAAATGAGGTACAAGGGACAAAGTTCTGCTGTTAGCAGACCCTACAGTGCTCTCCAGGTGGGATGGGCTGTCAAAATTGGTTTGGTTCCTGTAGAAGGCTTTGAAGGAAATGAGGCACAAGGGACAAAGTTCTGCTGTTAGCAGAGCCTACAGGTGGGATGGGCTGTCTGTAAGTGCTGTGTTTGTCTGGTTGTAGGATGGTGTCCATGTAATAAAGCAGCCAAAGGATGAAGTTACCCCAGAGCAGATGAAGCTGATGAGGACGCAGGATATTAAATATGTGGAAATGAAAAGAGTTGCAGAAGCCAAGGTAATAACTCATATATTTAGTGTTTTTCAGTTTGCTCAGTATTGTTTTTTTGCTGTGTTGTTCTTATTGGTGCTGCTGGCTGTGTTTGTTCAGTGAAGTCTGATTTGTACAGTGCTGGAAAGGACAATGGAAGTGTCAGTGGATGCTGGATACAGAGCCTAAAGGTGTGATGACAATCAAAAATTACACTGTGCATTGTTATAAAACACAGTGATTTTCACCTAAATGCCAAGACTTTAAACATGCTTAGCAGAAATGGTGCTCATAGAGAAATGGTGAAAGGCCTAAGGTTGGAAGAGTGCTCTCAGATCATGAAGTCCAGCTGTTCACCCACCACCACCGTGCTCACCACTGACCTGTGCCCCCCAGGTGCCACAGCCACATGCCTTTTGAACACTTCCAGGGGTGGTGATTCCACCATTTCCCTGGGCAGCCTGTTCCAATGCCTGACTGCGCTTTCAGGGAAGAAAAAGGGGTGGTGATTCCACCATTCCCTGGGCAGCCTGTTCCAATGCCTGACTATGCTTTCAGGGAAGGAATTTTTCCTAATTCCTGAATCCCCCAGCATAGCTTGAGGCTGTTTCCTCTTGTCCACAGAATTAACTATGTTGAAAAAGATCTTTGAGGTCATTAAGTTCAACCTGTGACCTAGCACCACCTTGGAAACCAGACCATGGCACTGAGCATCACATCCAGTATTTTTTTAAACACCTCCAGGGATGATGACTCCCCCATGTCCCTGGGTAGCTCATTCCAGTGCCCTGAGATCTTTTTCCCTAGTGTCCAGCCTAAACTTCCCCTGGCACAGCTTAAGGTCCTCTGGTTCTGTCAGTGGTTGCCTGAGAGGAGACTGACCCCACCTGGCTACAACCACCTTTCAGGGCGTTGTAGAGAGTGATCAGGTCTCCCCTGAGCCTCCTTTTCTCCAGGCTAAACAGCTCCCACAGCCATTCTCCATAGGATTTATGTTCCAGACCCTTCAGCAGCCTTGCTGCTCTTCTCTGGACACATTTGAGCCTCTCAATGTCCTTCTCGTTCCTAAACTGAGGGGCCCAGAAATGGACACAGCACTCAAGGTGCAGCCTCACCAGTGCAGATACAGGGGAAAACACTTGCTACTTGAGAGAGCTGCCTAACTGCCCCCTGGCTACACTCTCCTGTCAGAGGATGAGGTCTCCCAGCCGAGGAGAATAATCTGGAGTGGGTTGTTGGAATGTGGTAGGCTGGCAATCCACAAAAATACAATCCTCTTCTGAAGGTGTTGTATGCTTTGATGTTGATTCACAAAACAGAATCAAATTCTCACTGGGGATAAAAAACCAAAGCCAGCTTTAAACTTTCCTTCATGCTTTTGCTGGCGGTTCCGTGGCAATCATTCCCCTTTGTCAAACAGGTCTCAGTTTTGCAGGTGGATGTGTGCACCTTGCCTGGGTAACAGCAGGAATCACTGTGACCCTCTGTCTGCAAAGGTTGCGGACACATGTCATAAATATAGACTAGATGTGTTTTCAGAGATGAAAAAAGGAAGGAGGAGTTCAGCTCTTTGTAACCCCGAGGAACAGACAGAAAAGTCCTCGGGGGAGACTTGATTTGAGTCGCTCCGAATTTGGCCAAACTTGGGCTTTCCGCAGAAAATCGAGCGCTTGAAGGCAGAGCTCCACCTGCTGGACGCCGCGGGGAGCGGCGCGGGCCGGCACCTCTTCTTCATGGACACGGAGCGGGAAGGTGAGAACTGAACTTGTTCCGGGCTGTCGTTAAAGAAAGACACTTTTATTTTCAGAAATAAAAATTCAGGTGCTCTAGAAATCTCTCTTGGTTACTAGCTGAGATATCACTTCTGCAGGAGCTGTGTTGCTGGGGCTCCTGTTTCTGATTGTAGCAATGTGTTTGGAAGATTTGCTTATCGAAGGAGTCCATGGGAGTTTATTCCTATTTTTTTTTAATGTATAGTTCGGGAGTTTGATATTGCTGCTCACCTGGACACCGTTCCTGAGCTGGTAGATAGAGTGTACAACCGACCAACCATCGCAACGCTGCAGAGAGAGGCAGTGAAGGGACCTACTGATCCTGCCCACCTAAAGGTACTGCTGCTGTTTGTGCTGCAGACTTCTTCATGTTTTACATCTTTTATATGACAAGCACTAAAAAGGATTGATTGCACCATTGTGGAGGTGAACAAAACTGTGTTCTTAAAACTTTTATTGGTGACACAAAGCAGTAGTGGATGTCACTTAATCACCAAATGACTGCCTGGAGCCTGCAGTCACATCTCCTGGACTACATGGAGTACTCTTTCACTGCACCCCAGCCCACTGTGGGTGGGCCACCATTAGTTGTGATATACAGGCCAGAAAAGAGTGGTGTGCATCTGATGAGACAATGTCCCTGCAAAACTGAGAGATTTGTCCTCTATAAAGGAACATATACCTATGGGACTATCTTTTCATTAGACTGCTGCAGTTTCAGGTGTAATTTTTTTCAGACTCCACTGTTAGGTCTCCTCTCACACTTCCCCAAAACCCCTTGCACCCCTGAATTAGGTAAATAGGAAGAAGCTTACTCCAACACAGATGTCTCTGTTGCAGTGTTCCTGATCTTACAGTATTTTTCAATTTGGTTCTGAGCCCAAAGTCACTTGAGATTTGTCTCCTCACTTTCCTTCCTAAAGCCATTTAACCTATAGTCTCACTTCCTTGCTTTCCTAGTTGGAATTGTTTCATGATTCTTCAGCATGAATTCCATATGCTGTCAGCTTTGATTCTGATGTTTTAGTATCACAGAAGTAGCTACAGTTGGCTTTACTGCTGTAGGTTCTGCTCAGGTAATTCAGATCTGTTGGAAAGTCCTCTGAGTACGAGTCAGTTGTGTCTAAGGTAAAAATAGTTGTTTTAAAATTGCCGACTGGTAGATTTTTAACCTGGTTTTTCTGACTCAGATGTCAGATAATAAACACCCTGTGGTCCCTTTCCTCCTGCCAGCTGTCTCAGTTTGACTTGTCAGGAAAGCAGTTGGACGAGTCGTAGACTGACTAGTTTTCTCCTAAATGTCTGAGTCATATTTTAAGCATGTTGGGATCTGTTCTCCTTAATTTAATTACTTAAATCACACCTGCAGTAATACTGTTCCTGTGCTGGGAAAGCTATCCACTCTCATTAGGCAAACTTGACCCAACAAGTTGCATTTTGAGAGGCCTCTGCAGGCTCTGAGCACTTCAGGAATTGGTCTCTGGTCTGTCCTTTTTTTTTGTTCTCCCTCCTCTTGATAAAGTGGATTTTCATTAGGGAGACAAATGTTTTCTTGCATTTGACATTGAAATTCAGAGGATTTAGACCACAGTGTCTTGTTCAGCTCTGTCTTAAAACAGCTTCTTCTCCTTGTTTCCAGAAATTAGCCCAGCAGAGGAAGAACCAGTATGACCTCCTGAGGCAGCGCATCGAGAGGGAGAAGGCCATGTTTGTCGTCTCACAGAAAATCCAGACACGGAAGGATCTGCTGGTAAGGGATTTGCTTCTGGTTTTCCAAGTCTGTTCTGATCAGGTCATTAGGTCTGGTATTGTGTGTGTTGTATATTTTGTATTTGTTTCTTCATTCTGGTTTTATAGTGACACCTGCAGATAACTCCTAAAGATAAGTAATCCTCTTTAATATGGAAAAAGCAAGGAGATGAAGCATTCCAGTAAATTATATCTGCTAGTCCAAGTCTCACCTTGTCAGCAAGGACAAAGACTCAGCTGTAAATGGTGCTCACAAGGAGCCCAGAATAGTGCCACTAGGAGTCAGAAGCAGGGAACCATTTCTGTAAGTTATGAGAAGGTCTTAAAAATCCAAATGACCACAGAAATTACTTGTCTCAATGGGACTGCTGTTCTCTGGTGCTTGTGAGCAGAGCAGATTATGCCTGATAGCCTGAAGGGGAAAAGAGCAGATAAAATTATAATCCCCACCTAAACAGTGCAAAATGACCATTTTTCTTTTATGGTTAGTCCCAGACAGGGATTCTCTGATTTGTGTGGGTGGGGTTTTTTCTCCTTGCATGGCAGCAAATAATTGTACTTGTTCTTTTTTCCAGGACAAAACTCATAAAGTAAAGGTGAAGAAGGAAACAACGACTGGTCCAGCTATTTACAAATTCAAGTTTCAGAGGAAACGTTAGCCATTTAATGGAATAATTGTTACAGTCTTTGCTCAGAAAGGAGGAGCCCTATCCCTTGGAGAAGGGCTGGTGCCAGCCTGCTTTTGACTGCAGCTCAGCACTTTGTTGAAACAAATCACTGTGGGCCCGTGGTAGCCATCAGTGTGTTTAATCTAATTAATTGATTAATAAATCAGAGTTTGTTCTTTTGATATTTATGGTGGGAAGCCATGAGATTTGCCTAAGTGTTCTGGTGAGATGCACCATAAACAGTCAGTGAGCAGTCGAGGTCACAGTGGAATTAGGGAGGTGGGTTAAGCACGGGACAAGGACAGGTACTTGGGGATTGTCAACTCTGGGGCTGAGCAGGACCTGGCCAAACCCATGAGAGTGGAGCTCAGCTTTCTCAGCTGTCTTTTCAAGCAGGTTAAAGGTGAATTATCTCCAGTCATTTCCCCAGCATGCCCCAATCCCTCTCATTTCCTATTTGCACCATCCCATCGTGTGCTTTTCCTCCAGAGTTGCTTCAGTTCAAACTGAGGCAGTGCCAAAACTCTGTGTAAGGGGAGACAATGCAGCAGCCAAGTGTGGGACAAGAGTTTGTCCTGTGGGTTTTCCTGGGGCTGGTTGCATTGCCAGGGGTGGGGGATGTGCAGACACATCCTGAGTGTCCTGGAGCGGCCCAGGCACGTTCAGAGGAGCCTCCGTGTGAACATTCCTTCTCTTATCTCTCCATCGTCCTGTCGCTGCCAGCAATAAGCACATGGTCTGCAAGGGGGGGAAGAAAAAAAAGATGCTCTTCTCAGGCCCTACCTACTTTGGAGCTTTTCCAGCAGCTCGGTGATGAAACGCGGTGTTCTTACCTGCTTAAATGCAGCTTCAGATGTTCCTGCCATTGCTGGGATAACTGGGGGGAGAATTTTTCAGGGGAGCATCCACGGAGTTCTGCAGAACCAGGAGTCTGTGGATTCTGTAAGGGCTGGGTGAGCAGGAGGGGAAAACAAAGCCCCGGGCCTGAGAATGGTTTGGTTTGGTTCACTTGAGCAAAAGAAAAAGTCCTGCGTGTAAGAATGGTTTGGTTCAGTTTGGTTTGGTTCGCTTGAGTGAAAGGAACACAAAGCCCCATGTGTGAGAATGGTTTGGTTCAATTTGGTTTGGTTCACTTGAGCACATGGAAAACATTTGAGAATGGTCAGGTCCGCTTCGGTTCGGTCTGGTGTGCTCAGGCGGAAGGAAAGCAAAATTCCCTGTGGGAGGATGGTTCGATTTGGTTCGCTTGAGCAAAAGGAAAACAAAACCCTGCGAGGACGGTCCGGTCTGGCTCGCTCGAATGAAAGGAGAACAAAGCCCGAGTGTGAGGACGGTCCGGTCCGGTCCGGCTTGGCTCGAAAGAAAGGAGAGCATATCCCGCGTATGAGGACGGTCCGGTCCGGTCCGGCTTGGCTCGAAAGAAAGGAGAGCATATCCCGCGTATGAGGACGGTCCGGTCCGGTCCGGCTCGCTCGAAAGAAAGGAGAGCAAAGCCCGCGTGTGAGGACGGTCCGGTCCGGTCCGGTCCGGTCCGGCTCGCTTGAAAGAACGGAGAGCAAAGCCCGCGTGTGGGACCGGCCCGGCCCGGCCCGGCCCGGCTCCGTTGGCCCGGGGCCGTGCGGAGCAGCCGCAGTGCCGGGCCGGGCCCGCAGGGGGCAGCAGCGCCGCGCGCGGGGCCGTGTCGCCGTGAGGGCTCGGGGACGTCCCGCGGTGTCACCGCTCTCCTGGCGGCCCGCTGCCTGCCAGGGGAAAGCTCTTTCAGACTAAGGTTTAAATAGATGTTTAATCCTTGCCCTTGATTAATTTTACCTGCATCCAGAGCGCTGCTGAAAGGGATGGGAGAGAAAAGCAGCAGTTCTGCTGGGAGAGCCTCGAGGAATCCTGGAGCAGGAATTGGAAAACAGCGACCTGGCCAGGCCAGCAACTGCCTTGTCCACCTCCGTCCCACTGCACAAGTGCCCTCTTCCCTGGAAGAATGGCATCTTCCCAGTTGTTGTGGGATGCAGTAGGCAGCTGCCAGGCTTTCTTTGAGCAGGCACTGGCCACACTGCTTGTCCTGGGCGTGGTGGTGTCCACTGGCTCCTGGGAGCTGAGCTACCAGCCAGGACACACAGCCTGGGGTCTGGGTAGCAAAAGTTGTGCCTGTTGTGATTTATTTTTCCCTGGGAAGCCATGGAGGTTTTAACAAAAGGAAATCAGAGCGCTGTTCCGTCTGTGGTGGTCACATTGAGAAGGATTCTTGCTGACCTCCAAAGCCTGGCTACAAATCCCATAGCCTGTGGTTTATTATCTTGTGGCCATAACAGACTAAAAGGAGGTGCCAGCTTTTGTGCACATTTTTCACCTACTCGTGCCTGCAGTGGTGAAGGATTTGGCAGGTGCTGATCTCTGAACCTCTACGTTAGCAGACAGGGCTGACTCACACCTGCTGCCCTGCAGAATTCCCAGTGGCATCCAGGGAAAAATCCACACCTTCTCAAAAACCTTGCTCTTTGACTCCCAAAGCCTTTAGCTCGGTATCCTCATACTGAAATGCTTCTGCAAGCATCTGGAAAGAGCCAGTATCTTATAACTGAGTCCAAAACCCAGCCCACTGGGCCACAGCACAGGATTTAAAGTGAGAGAGGAGTGGGATCTGCCATCCTCTAGCTGGGTCCTCATGGGGAAGGACAGCGAGAAAATGCCCTCAGCTATTTTTTGTTTGTGATAATTATAGCATCAAAAGCTGAACCAACAGGTTCTTTAGCAAGGAGATTCCCTGCAGCTTGAAAGATACAGATATCAAAATTCCCCAGATTCACAGCTCAGGTTTTAGGTGACTCAATAATATTGTGCCATATAACAATTTGTGTAATTCCTTCTTCAAGTCATGAAGAACTCAATTGATAATGACTGTCTATAAACGTTAATAGCAGACTACACTTGCAGGATTATCTCCAGGCAGCTGCAGCAATATATTATACTAGCAGGAGAGCCATCACCAGCCCCTAGGCTTCTCAGGTGCTTTCCTGTAGGCTCCATTTTCCCAGCCTGACCCAGACTGGAGGGCACAGTGGGGTCCCTGGGGCATGGCAACAGAAGCTGGCTTGCCTGGGGAGGCCCTGGATCCCCCCAGGACAGGCACTGTGGGGTGTCCATCAGTGGCCATGTGCTGTGGCAGCCAGAGGGACCCCCAGCACCTCTGGAGCCCCCCAGGCTGTGTTCTTTGAACAAAGGAGAGCAGGGAGGCTTGGTCCCCCCCATGCCCCTGCTGCCAGCGCTGCCCTGTGCGTTACCATCTGCTCACCATGCACCTCTGGATCATCCCTCTGCTCACCCCCTGGTGCTGCCAGCCCAGGGGCACCGGTGGCACTGTGGGCTGGGTGCAGGTGTCTCCAGCTGCAGGACTGGCTGCCCTGGCCCTGCTGCTCCCCAGCATCCTACAGCCAGGTTCAGCTGAGGTGTCTTGCCCAAGGGCACCAAGGAGAAAAGGGTGGTGGAGTTCCTCCACTCAAGCCTGAGCAGCTTCGCAGCAGGGAGTTGAAAGAGCAGAATGTAAATCAGGAATGACTAATTGCTGCTCAGCATGGCTGCCCTAAACCTCTCTGTTCCACAGCTCCTTGGCCACTTGGACCTTTCCCCTCTTGATTAGGAGCAAGAGGGCTGCAGATGTCTGGGGAGAGCCTGGGCACTGGGTACTGTCCCCTTCACGCTGCCACACTTGGACACAGCCACCCATTCCCCTCCAAACAAAACATTCCTCTCCAAATTCCATTACAGAAGGTGTCAGATGAATAAATACCTGCTGCTGCTTCTGTTGTGAGATGCCAGGCACCAAGAGTGAACCCAGGGCTGGGCGAGGTGAAAGCAGCAAATATTTGCTTTGTTGTCCCACAGTTGTGTACCTGAAGCCGTTAGTGCCTAGAGAGAGCCCAGGTGAGCAGCACTGCTTCAAGCAGGCAGGAGCCCATTATTTAGTGAGAACCAATTCCCAGGATGTCCCTGCCTTGGCAGACCTAAAGACTGCAATAGTGAATTAGTGCATACAGATCATCATTTACTGAAACGCAAGCCCCGATGCACCTTTCTAGGGAAGCACTAATTTATTATGCATTGTTATTAGCTGCAGCAGGGCCTTCATTAGAGCTAGAGTTAAGGTCTGTTTTGGCTGCCTCATCAGCATCAGTGAACTGCGTCCCTGCGAGGTTTGATACAATTTAATTAACCTAATTAAAAGCTCTGATTGCAGAGATGATTGGGGTAGAGCCAGCAGCAACTGCATATTTATAACGAGCTAGAAGGTGTGGGACTGGAGCCAAATGATATGCATCTCTAATGAGCTGGTGCTATTGAAGTGTGGATTTGGAACACTAACATTTATTTTTGGCAACAATGGCCAGTTTATCTTCATGATAGAAACGATCACGGGTTGATTGGGTGTAGCAGGCAGCTCAGCACTGTGCTCCCTGGCCTTCTCCACACCACTGGCAGGCACACACGAGCACCCACAGCCCCCACTGCTCTCCCCCAGCCCTTCCCCTGCAGGCACAGCACCCAGGGCTCGCCCTTCACACCCAGCCCTGCAGGGACACGGCAGGGACAGCGTGCCCCAGCCCCACGGAGCAGCCCCAGTGAGCCCTGGAGGATGCCAGCAAGTTTCCCTTCCCCAGCCACCACTTCCTCCAGCTTTCCCAGGGCTCCTGCCCCACAGCCAGGCTGGGCTCCTGGTGCAGGTAACTCACCTCAGTTACTCCTCCAGGTATCAGACACTTCATGCCCTGATCTGCCGGGCAGCAGGCACAGATCACACAAAGCAGCCTGGAGCAGAGCTCAGCCCCAGCACTGGGGCTTCAGGGCTGCTGCTGCCTGGGCTGGGAGCACCAGCACCTGCCCCTGGCTGACCCACGGCAGCCAGAACCTCCTGCCCTCCTGTTTAGTGACAAAGAGGCTGCCAGCCCCTCACCCCCACCAGCTGTGGCAGAACAGGGGGGTTCCTGGTCAGGGAACCCTCATTTTCTGGGCTGCAGCAGCTCTCATCTCGCCGTGCCCCTTCTCTCTCCACATTGCAAGGCTACACGGTGCTAAGAGGGCTCAGGGGTCCAGTGCACCCAGCAGCAGCAGTGGGACATCCCAGGCACTCTTAGCAGCCAAGGAACAGCAGCCAGTCTGCTGAGCCACTTGGAAAATTTGATCCATGCTAATT